CAAGTTGCTGCTGCAGAAGATGTTGCTGCTATCAATCAGGAAGCCTAGCTGAAATCTTGCTGCCCAAGGAAGGAGTTGCTTCGCCATCACTGCAAGCTGTTAGTGTTTCAAGTTGAAGAAGAGAAAGAGGGAGAATATGTGGAAAACAGCAACTGTAACGCTACTATTTACCTGCTATGACTGCTGCTAAACCGATGGATTGGCAGCTACAGACAGGAGCAATGGTGCTGCAAGTGATCTCAGGAAATAAGGAAGAAAAATGGCAGAGGACTAAGGCTGAATTGGGGGCTAAAACACAATGATGGAGGGAAGTATGCTGCTGATGCTACAAGTTGATGCTGCTGCTAGTTGTGGCGCTAAAGATTAAAGAATGAAGAAATGGAGATTTGTAGTTGGAAATTGGAGAAGCTAAGCCAAAGAAGAAGACTAAGAAGAAGAGGCAATGATGAGAAGAAGGTGGCTGATTACGGCTGAAGAGAAGGAGCAGCCAAAGAAGAAGACAACAACTTGCCAATTGGGCAAGTTGTTGAATAAACAAGTCTTAACAGCTGCAAGGTGCCGCCCAACCTTTCTCTGTAGAGAAGAAGGCCAGAGCTCAACCAATCAAAGCCTCTCCAATTCTATAAATAGTCAACCAATAGCAGTTAGGAAAATAACATATTGGGTTAATTAGTTAAGTTAGTTGGGTAGAAACAGGGTAGTAGCATGAGCTAATAGTGCAGACTGTCACTCTATCAAGTGGCAAAGACCACTCGCCAAAGTGAGTAGATAGAATCTGCCCTGCTACCACTTTTCCCTTCTATCCTCTAACCTTTTGATCTTAATCATGACCGATCTTTTGTACTTTGTTGCTCTCATATTTAACTCAATAAACATGAGTAGCTAAACTCAGTTAAGGGTCTAATATCTACTATTTATATGTGAAGATTTTGATTCGGTTCTTATATGAGGCATTGTGTTAAGTGAAGTGTTTAAACTAACCTTTTAATTAAACTGGACACTTAATTGATTGTGCATGCATAGTTATGAAGATATGAGAGGGGAACATAACTTTAGAACTACTTAATCTAGTCTATGACAAAGGAGGAAATTTACCCTTTGGTTTCAATCATCAACAAGAGTTAGGTGCATTGGCATAGGTGATCAAATGGGTTTAAGAACTCAATGCCTTAGGTTAATGAATTACCCTGACTGAGAGGTAGGTAATTTACCTAATCTAAGAGTCTTTATTCTGTCTGAGAGGAATTGTAAAGAATACAAGTGCCTGATCAAACAATAAATTATATGCAACAAGAACTACAATGAATCAAAACTAGATCATATAGATAGGAAGGTGGTTAGGTCTTTTGGTCTTCTGCTCTTCAACTCTGTCAAGTGACTATTTTCACTCTCCCAAGTGACAAATCTGTTCAGCTTTTTTTCTTTTGTTTTGCACAATAATTAGATTTTAAGCAGTTAACTATCGTCTCTGTAGAACGACCATGCTTACTACTAACTAAGAGTTTTAAGTAGCTATTTATTTCATTTGGAAATGTCAATGACTCATTCACCAAAAGTGGTGTCGCTGCTGAGAATGGCGTTAATAATCCTTAATTTCTGATTTTTGTGTTTTTCTCTTTGTTCTTTAGCTTATTGTTTTGCCCAAAATTCATACACACTCAAAAATCTTGTTATTGTTACTATTGAGTTTCAAAATCTGGTTTATGACTAGAAGCAATCCTTCTGAAAAGCTGAGCATTTATCCCAAAATTGAAGCTACAGCGAGGAAATCAAAGGTCTTGCGAAACAAAGAAGCTGAGGCTCACGTTCCTAAAGAAGGCCAGAAGCCAATGACAGAAGTAGCAGGAGCTTATCAAAATCGAGAAGGAGAGCTACAACTAGCTCAACCCAGACTGCTTCGAGACTATTTTGTACCTCAAGATGAGGAAGTTTAGACTCCACTTGTGTACAACAATGTTGCCGCAAAAAACTTTAAGCTCAAAACTCCAATGATTCAATGGATGCAAGCTGCTTGTCCCTTCTATGGATTGCCTAGTGAAGATCCAAATGAGCACATCAAGAAATTTCTGAGATTGTGCAGCACATTCAAAATCCAAGGTTTGTCCAAAGATGAGATTTACTTGAGACTTCTTTCAATTCACACTGCAGGATTTAGCAGCAAAATGGTTGGACACTCTGCCCAACAATTCGATCAATTCCTGGAATGGACTCAGACAAGCATTCCTTACCAAGTTTTTCCAACCTGTCAAAGCTGCTGCTTTAAGATCAGCCATCATGGATTTTCAGCGGCATGGGACAGAAACTCTCTATGAGGCTTGGGAAAAATTTAAGGATCTGATGAGGAAATATCCTCAACATGGTGTAGAGAAGCCAATGCAGTTGTGCATTTTCTACAAAGGATTGTAGCAAGCCTCAATAGAATCACTTGATTCTTCATCAGGAGGAGCATTCATGATGAAACCAGTGGACGAAGCAATTCAGCTGTTGAAAAATATGTGTGCTAATCATTTCAGGTGGCAGAAAGAGTCTAGCGCTACAGCTAAGAAGGCAGAATGTTAGAGCTTGATGCTATAACTCACTTGCAAGCACAGATGGCAGCCTCACCAGTAAGATATCAAAGTTAAGAGCTGACATCAACAAGCCAAAAGCTTATGTCTGCGAAATCTGTACAGGATCTCACAACAGCTCAACCTGTCAAGCAACTATGGGGGAAGTCCAGTTCGTAAGGCAAGGGAATGACAGAGGAGATTTCAACAATTACTATGATTGGAGGCCCCAACAGAACAACAACTGGACTAATCAACAATCGAGCTATCAGAGACTAGCTTAACCACTTGGATTTCAGACTCAACCATTCAGAGTCAAGGAGGAAGACTAGATTAAGGTAGGTAATGTTTTTGCTACTCTTGATACAACTATGAAAGATATGCAGAACCAAGTGGCACAACTAGCAAGGAAAATACCAGACAGACCTGCTGGAACTCTTCCACGTGACACACTGGAAACCCTAACAGAGGGAAGCACACAGCTCAATTCAAAAACCAGAGATGCAGCTCAAGGAATTGTTGCAACTCAAAAAGGCAATATAGAAGCATCAATGAGTCAAGCATGAGACTTTAAACCAATGCGATACTTAGGAGGCAACCCAAGGTAAGTTATTTTGTTCTTCTTAATTTTAATTTATCATCTTTTGTTATTAATCAATCCGTTGGTAGCAATCATAAAGAATGACACCACTGTTATCAAAAATTTTCAGGTGGATTGTGCGGATAGTTAATCTGAAGTGCATTGCAGACTATGATATGATTAGAAGGCAACATTTCAGTTTAATTACCTAACACAAGCAAGGAACAATGTTCGGTCATCTCACTTGGACGAGTGATGGACTCAATTTCGCGAATGAGATGATTGATCAATGAAAACTTGCAAATCATCATACACCCAGTGTTCTGATTTGAGGAGGCATAGTCACTTGGTCGAGTGACATATTCCACTCACGAGAGTTAGCAGGTCAACTGGGAACAAAATAAAAGTCAAAGTCTCCTAGTTCGCCATCAAATTAGTATTGCCATTTTTTATCTTGTGGGAACTATAGAAAGCCTGGGATGATTTTTTGTATGAGGGAAATAATTTAATGCTAGTTCAATTATTCTCCTTATACATGAACATATTGATAATCTCTTACGTGTGCATGAGCTAAAAGTAAAAACATAATTAGAGCAAAAGATCCTCTAGGAATTGTTCAAAGGAAAAGTTGCAAATCCAAAAAAAAGAGAAGTCGGGATGGTTAAATGGAGTTTTCCTCCGAAGAATGTCTACACTCTTAATGTTGATGGTTCATCACATGGGTCTCCGGGACAAGCAGGATTGGGATACATCATAATTGTAGCAGGTTGCCAGAGTTTAGGTCTTCGAAATAGCTTCGACGCTGAAGTAGAAGCAATGCTGATGGGAGTGCGTAAATGCGAGGAAATACAACTAGAAAGAGTCCAAGTAAGATCTGATATAAAGTGCTAATTGATTCTCTTTTAAACCAGTCATCTTTTCCTTGGAAGAATAGGGTTGCTCTACGCGAATTAAAGACTATCTTTGCTAGGAACACTTTCACATTTGAACATATTTTTCGAGAGGCGAACGCAATAGCAGACTCGTTAGTAAAGATAGCCTCTGCAGGAAAGTCATTCAGCTATATACACATCTTGCAACTCCCTGCATATACTCGTGGTTTGTTGATCCTTGATCAACAATCAATACCATAAATGCGCATAAAATGAAACCAGTTTAGTTGTAAACTTCTAGAATAGGTTTTATTGTAACAGGTAGTTTTATTTTTAATGTTAAAAAATAAAGAACTGTTGTGGGATTCTTATAAGATCTTTGAAAAATAGGTTCTTAGTTTAATATGCTAAATAAACATATCAGAACTGTCATTGGATTTTTAGAGTAATCTTTGTAAGACAGCTTCTTAGCCTTAGTCAACATTAAAACCGTCATTAGATTTTTCGAAATTCTTTGTAAGACGGTTTCTTCTTTTTGGATAAGTTTTAAGCACTGACTTTTGTAATTTTCTTTTTTAATCAATAAAATCAAGAATGCCCGTCAAGTACCGTCCTGATTAATATAAAAATAAAAAAAATAAACAAATAACCAAGTAAAATTAATTTATAGATTTTACAGATTTATAAATAAAAAATTATCACGTGGACTTGTCTAACTATAAAATTCTTAAGACTTCCCATTGTTGTTAAACTAACTCTAAATAACAAATTACGTTGCATATTTATAACTTGCACAAAATACTTACCTCTAGACCTTCTAGACACTATCGGGTTTTTGCACACTTCGACAAATATTATGAATATACATTCTCGAGAAATACGCAACACCTTACATTAATTAAAAAAAAAAAAACAACAACTCAAATGTAAATTTGTGGTGCTTGAAAATGTTCTAAAATTTCTCCTTTTTTTTGTGAAGCCCAAAAGTTGCAGCCTATAAGTAGATTGTTCATTCCACACCATAAACAACAACAAACACGCACACAAGATTAACAAACACAACGGGTCTTCAAGAGAAAAGAAATGGCTGCATCAGCTCCGATCATCAAACCAATTTTCTTGTCTATAATTCTTGCAATTTCGGTTGCATTCTTTTCATCATCACCTTCATTGTCCCAATCTCTGCCCGTCGGTGATTTCCAAGAGTTTTGTGGGCATGCAAATCAGGCAGCATATTGCATCAAAACCATTGACGAATACACAGCTCAACCAATCCTCAAAGTAAATGACCAGGGCTGGTTACAAATCCTCAAGCTCAAAGCCTTGTCGTTGCTCTCGTCGACCATAACCGGCATCGACAACGCGATCCAGGTTGGCCCTCCAACTGTTGTACTGGATGCACTCACATTTTGCAAATCTGTTGCTATAAACACTACAATTTCGTACTTATCACCCTTGGATTTTACGGTTATAAGTCATGATCAGTACATTAAGTATCAGCTTGAATCCGCATCCGCTTATACTTCTTTTGTCTATTGCATAAACTACTTTAACAGAATATTTCCGGTTCAAAATCCAGTTGGTGTATTGATAGATCAGACTTACGAAACCCTCAAGCTGCTTTTAGAATGTGTCAATATTTATCAGTGTAAACAAAAAAGTTCTTGTTTGTAATCAATATTCCAATATCAATCTTTATTATCATTTCTATATAACGAGTTTATTGACCCCCATGAAAAAAAAAAAAAAACAACAACAAACACGCACACGCGAGCGCACGCGCGGGCACACACACGCACACAAAACATTAACCAAAACAACAACAATAATGGCAAAAATTACAAATTCTTTGGTAGTTCTCTTTCGTGTGGCATCTTGTGTATCTTGCACAACTCTTGAAGAGGTGTGTAAAGTCACTTATGATGCCAAATTCTGTCTAAAATTGCTAAAACCAACAGTGAGCGAGTCAACTGATTTCAAGTCAAAAGAGTGGAAAAAGATGGTGGTTGATCGTGTATTGGTAAAAGTCATAATGGCTGATGATTATGCCACCGAGAAAAGTAACCCGAGAGGACAGACTTATAAAACCTGTCTTTAGTTCCTTGGTCAAGCCTTGGGATTAATCAGACAAGGTAATCTTCACGACGCACAAGAGTACATTAATAATTGTGCCATGTCTATGAACAAGAAAAATGAAAAGGTACAGTGTTAAGAAGTTAGCCGATGAAGCTTCTATACCTAACCATGTCGCAACTGAAATTGTTGGAAAAGTGAGTCGGACATAAACACAAATCAAGTGAAATTGTTTGAAAGGTTTGAGTTTGACATAAACACAAATCAATTTTGGGTTATAAGAGTTTTTTTTTTTTGGATATTTCATCCCATGTTCAATAACGTTCTTTCTATTTATTCATATTCAACCTAGTAGGCACAATTTTGTTAATTCAGAAGTTTTGTTGTAATTTCCTCCACAAAAAAAAGAAAGTCTGGTGTCAAGGTTTATTGGTGGTACATTTAGAATAATGAGAATTTATCAATAAATGACTTCGTAATTTTTTGTAATAATCAGGATGTTTATTCTATAGTAATTGAATGTTAAATTTTAGTTTTTTAATAAATTATCTCACTCTTTAAGATTAATTCACCTTGTCTTTCACTATGACTTACAACATTAAGATGAATCATTAAGCAAAACTCATTATTAGTTCCTTCTTGAAGAAAAAAAAAAGAATATTGTATTTTTTAGTGGATCATTTGTATTATAAAAATAAAAGGACCCGATCATTTTGCAAATATTTTCCAATTAAATTTCTTCCAATAGAGATTGAAGAACTTCACTACCTCCCAAAGTTGAAACTCTTAAAATGTTATTTATTAACCAAAAATATTGAATGACATGTATAACCCAACCTATCCGAGTTGTTTACTCTTGAAAATGGTTGTATACGTCTAATACTTTTCATTCCATGTTATTGACAATTACAGAAAGAGATTTAATGTGATAATTCCTTCTTTGCTGCTTTGATATGATTGGTAACTTCACAATACATATATATATATATATATATATTGTAAAAATTATTTTATTTCGTAATTTGAGGTTTGATATAACTAGGATGACCATATTAAACGAAAGGTTTACCTTTCAAGAAGTGTTGTATTTTAATACTAGTTTCTTAGCATCTGCTTTAATTATTTGAATTATATATATAAGTATATATATATACTTATATATACTTATATATATACTTATATATATATATAGACACACACACACACACTACTACTACTACTATATATCTGTGATCAGTATAAAATGTATTCAAGAGGAAAATAATGAATTTTTGCTTGTTAAATACTAAATATTTTTAATGAATTTTAATATAAATAGGATCAAATTTAAAATTTATAAAAAAAATTATAACTATTAATATTTTTATAAAATTGAAATTTTGAAAAGTATGAAGTGATACCATAATAATTAGATATTATTATTATGAAATATTCAGTGAACATTGAGATATTATTAAAATATGATAAAAATTGTAACTATTTTAGAAAGTAATCGTGTACAATATCATCACCTGAAGCTACCAAAACTAAATCACGGTTCATATTCCTACGGTGATTCTGTTAGAGTAAACTGCTCAAATGATGCTCTACATTTGATAAAAAAAACTTATTTTAGTTCTATGATCATGCATGAATCTCCCCTTAAGCTCCCGTTGCATTAACAATAGCACTTCTTCTGGATTTTTTTCCTTTCATGTAAACAACCTTTTGTTGCGCTCTTCCCAGATATGGTATATACATGCCATCACAGTGGCCAACAGAATCTGTCTCTTTAACTGGCTTGTTTTCCACATTTTCTGCAACTGAACTCTCCATCTACTTTCATACACAGGGAGTCTGTTGCATTGCAACCACTTCACTACTAGCAGCAATAGTTTGTTTGCGTAATGGCACAAAAAAAAAACAAGTGTGTACCTGTTTCCAAATGCAGCTTGCATAACACACAGTTCAAATGGTGAGGGGCCTTCTTTTCCAAGCCAACCATGCTATGAAAGCATGTTTAGGAATGTTCCTGTTTGCCCAGATTCATTGCGTCTCCTTGAGCTTTTCACTGCCACCTGTAAGCCATTGATAACCTAAGCTAATGGTGTACTTCCCATTGCTACTGGCCTTCCACCTGTTTCCATCAAAACCTATGCTAATGGTGTTTTCATCAGCTGCTTCCATTGCCAACTTGAATTACTCTTTGCTTGGATTTCCCAGAAGGAGCCCTCCTTTATTTAGACCCCATGAATCCATTTGACCCACAAGGATTCCTTTCTGGTTGCTAGGTGCCATACTTGCTTTGCCACAGCTGCCCTATTCCACTGCTTTGCATTCCTCACTCCCAATCCTCCTTCTCCTTTCTTTTTCAAACTTCTTCCCAACTGACTAAGGAGATTGACCTTGCACCAGTTGTTCTATTCCAGAGAAACTCCCCGCAAATTCTGTTAACCTGAATCATAACACTCTTTGGCAGAATAAAGATGGACCCCAGTATGAGTGCATTGTCATTAAAACTGAATTGACCAAACAGAGTCGTCTAGCATATGACAAATGCCTCGCACTCCAACATTTTACACGTGCCACAATTTTGTTCACAACTCCCTGCAATTCCAACTTAGACCACTTCTTTGGGGATAGTCACACCCAAGTATTTCATAGGAAAACTACTAGGCACAAACTTAGTAATCCTACAAATTTCATCCTGTAAACTCTGGCCAACTTCTCCAAAATAAACATACGACTTTTGAAGGTTTGCTTCTAAACCAGTTATCTCATTAAACTCCGTAAGGTCCTACACTATATTCCTTACAGTATTAACATCTGCTTTGCACAAGATCATGAGATCATCTGCAAAACAGATGTTAGTTAATTTCATTTCCTTGCACTTGGGTGATATTTAAATTTTGCTGTTTCTATACTCTTTAAACTCTTTGTCAGAAATTCCATTACCAAGACAAACAAGAGGGGCGAAACAGGGTCCCTATGACGTAATCCCCTCTACCCTTTGGAAAAAACCATTAGGGTTACCATTTATCACCAGCAAATTACTAAGAGTGGTTACACAAGTTATTATCCACTTTCTGAAATCATCAGGGAAGCCATACCTTTCTAGCATATCCTCTACAAATCCCCACTCAACAGAGTCGTACGCCTTTTATAATTCTATTTTCATCATTAACCTCCCACTGATCCCCTTCCTCCCGTATAATCTAATTAGTTCTTGAGTTATGAGTACATTATGCATTATCAACCTGTCGTTTACAAACGCAGTGTGATTTCATCTACTAAAAGTGCAAATACATTTTTCATCCTATCACATATGATTTTCAAAATACACTTGTAAATAACATTATAGCAAGAGATAGGTCTAAAATGACTTGCATTTTCAGGGCATTCAATTTTTGGAATTAAAACAATAAGCGTAGAGTTTAGTTGCTTTAATACCTAGCCAGATGTGAAGAATTCTTGAACTTCTGCTATTATATCTTTTTCCACTTCTGTCTATGTTGCTTTAAAGAAGCCTGCTCCATAACCATTCGGACCAGGGCTCTTGTTTTCATCCATTTCCCATATTTCCTTCCTTATTAGTTCCCTGGTTACTGGTCTTATCAAGCTCAACTACTGCTCAACATTCAGTCTAGGTCCCAGTTTGAAAGGTGCCTTTGGTGCAGATTTCCTGGCAAACTCTTGTCCAATCATTCTCAGTACTGAATAAAATGAGATTCAATCCCCTTCTCGTCAGCCACCTCATTTCCTTGATCGTCAATTACTGCCCATATCTTGCTTTTGATGGCTTTAATTTTTAGCTTAGAATGGAGGAATTTGGTATTGTCATCTCCTTCAGCTACCTGTTGAGTATCCCACATCAGTGGTGGGAGAGATTTGATATCAGTATATAAGTCGATGGGCTACTCTCCTCATTGCCAATTGGTTTTGAGGTAGAACCCTATTGGTTTCTATATGGTATCAGAGCTAGCCTGCTAAAAGTCGGACTCCAAAGTCTGATGTGATAGAACTAGTAGGGTTGAGACATGAGGCGGTGACTGGGCTGACAAGCCTAACCCAAGAAGAGACGTTGAGCTTGCGGAGGAGTGTTGAATATTCCACATCGGTGGTGGAAGAGATTTGATATCAGTATATAAGTCTATGGGCTACTCCCCTCATTGCCAGGTGAACCCCATGGGCTTCTATACTACCCACTTCTCTTTAGCTTTCTGCTGTAAAAAACTGTTTGCTGCTTTCCGTGATTCAACATACTCAATATACGCTGCTCTCTCCTTCTGCTGCAACTGTTCATTTCCTGGATCCAAGTGCTTCTTGCTATTCCAGTAAGCTGATTTCATCCCTGTGAGCCTTTTCCACTATGTCATGAAATTGGCTTCTATTCAACTTCTTCAGTTCAGGTTTCAGTCGTAGTAGCTTTTTGCAAACTTGAAACATTTTCGTTCCTCTAACATTGATATTCCAACTCTCTTGGACAATGGCCTTAAACAGAGGTGACAGACTCCACAAATTGAAGTATCGGAAATGTTTACGCCTTCGTGGTTCTTCTTTCCGTACTTTCTCAACCAACAGAGTGTGATCAGACAACCCTTCCTGTAGTACTGAAACTAAGGAATCTGTGAATTTTTCCAACCATTCTCCATTGATTAATGCTCTATCCAACTTAGCATACACCCTTTCTGCACCCATCCGCTGATTACATCAAGTAAAGAACTTCCCAGTTTGTCGCAAATCCTTGACACCACACTCTTCTAGACAGAACTAAAATTCTTAGATATCATTCAGACTCATAGGCCTTCTCCCCTTCTTTTCCTCACGCTTCAAAATGTTATTGAAGTCTCCAATTAGCATCCAGGGACCATTTACACTTTTTGCAATTTCTGATAAGTCAGACCATAACTGAGACCTTTTAGCCGGAACATTTGAAGCATATACTGCGGTAAGAAAGAAACTACTAAGGTCTCTTTTTGTACAGCACAAACAGTAAATAAACTGGTCACTTTGCCTCAGCTGAGTAGCTCTTACTTCGTCATTCCACCATATCATAATCCTACCTCTAGCATGGCTTTGATATTTATTTAGTCAATTCCATCCATTCCAGTACTGTTTAATATACTTCTCACCTCTTTCCCTAGTTAGTTTAGTTTCCACCAAGCATACCAAATCAAAACTTGATGTTGCTGCTTGCTACTGATGCTAGTTGAGCTACTGCAGATTAAAGAATGAAGAAATAGAGATTTGTGGCTAAGAATTGGAGAAATTATGCCGGAGAAGAAGACTAAGAGAAAAAGGCAACGATGAGAGAAAGGTGGCCAATTGCGGCTAAAGAGAAGGAACAGCCAAAGAGAAGACTGCAACTATACCTTTAGGTTTATCATTAGATGAAATGTTGAAGGTACATAAAAAGGTGAAATCTTTAAGTTTCGCCTTACACATTTTATCTTTGTTTTCTTGGTGGTTTTCAGTTTTGTGGCTTTCAATTTTGTGGAACCAGTATTAGTTTTTTTGGAACTAATATGGTTTTTTTGGATCCTGTTTATCTTGATGCTATTTTTGCTTAGTGATGTAGGGTTATCTTGATTGTTTTTGCTTCATTCTCATCTCCTGTATAAGCGTGCCGTAATATGTTTAGATGAGTTTGCTCGGTTTGGAGTCAAGATATGTTTCATCTGATGACTGATATACATAAAAATTCACTTTAACTCTTAAGTGGCAAAGTATTCGGTTCAGTGGTCTTTCTTTTTCCTTTGTCACCCGTCCATTATTTTGTAAAGCTACTGAGATTCAGGTATTTGCGTCTTCCTTCGATATAGCTCTATGTCTCTTGGCTGGATTTAGTACTGATGATTTGGGATATTCTTGGAATGGTACCAATGCTTTCAGGCTCCTCCTCGTGCGGATGTTGTTAAAAGCTTAAAAAGTGGTATAATCTTGAACATTCTTGGGATGGGTGCGGCAATATTTGGCATGCAAGCTACTCTAGGTTTGCTGGTGGCAAAAGCTCTTACCACATCATCCAATCCTCACTATCAGGGTATCGCTCCTGGAAATACTCCTGTTCTTCCACTTGATGTGTTCTTGATACAGGTAACACATTGTTACACTTGTCTGTCCTTCATTTTTGGTATTAAATTTGATCATCAATCTGCTTACACTAATCTTCATTCTAATCATTCTCGCGTGTAGTATAGTGAGAAGTAATTCTGAGAAAGTTTGTTCCAGATCTTTCAAATTTTCAAGGCTTTCATTTAATTCCGATTTCCTTGTTATGTGTTTTTGCCAATGGCTTCAGCAAATACTATCCTTTCTCATTCCCTAGGGTGGCATGATTCCCACTACAACATAACAAATGTGGAATAATCGGCCATGCCTAATCCTGAGATAGCTCAATGGAATAATCGGCGGATGGTCATTGCCACACAAATGTGAAATGCATGTTAGAGTTGCTTTTGATATTGTTTTATTACGTGTTGAGTTTGTAACATTATTATTTTTATACTAATGTATAATTTTTTGAACGTTATGTATTTTTATTCCTAATCTTATGAATTAGATGTTCTTTCGTTTGAGAATTAGACATTCATTTAGTATGGATTTAATTTAGTTACAACGTTCAAAAAATTATACGTTAGTTTTAATTTATGTTAGAAAGACTTATGTTAAGAAAAAGATACTTTTTAAATGTTTCTTCCAAAAAGAGTTTTATAAAAAAGCTTTACAAAAACTTGTCCAAATGGAGTCTTATATATTCGAATTTATAGTATTATATTAAGAGAGAAACCAAAGAAAAAAACAAAAAAAAAATTCTAAGGGTGTGCCATAGGATAAAATCCTATTTGTCATTTTCTTAACAAATGACAGAAATAAAAGTTTATGCAATTACACTAAAAGTCTTTAGGTTTTTGTGTAAATAAATTTTATCACATCTTTAAATCATTAATTGCAAATGAAAAGATTGGAAGAGTTAATATACGGTCATAAATCAGTGTTCAATCTTAATCCTAATCAATTAATGCAATCAAATCTATTCTCCCAGCAAATTCAAATATAATTTGATTGAAAAATCAAACAATTAAAAAACAATAATAATGGATCAATCAATTAACATTAATGCCATATAAATTCAAAAAGAAAAATTAATATTGATGTGAACTTTTTCACTAGTCAAATAAATTTTATCACATCACATTTAAATTATTAGTTGCAAATGGAAAGATTGGAAGAGTTAATATACGGTCATAAATCAACATTCAATCTTAATCCTAATCAATTAATATAATAAAATCTATTCCCCCAGCAAATTCAAATATAATTTGGTTAAAAATCAAACAATTAAAGGTAATAATAATGGATCAATCAATCAACATTAATGCCATATAAATTCAAAAAGCAAAATTAATACTGATATGAACTTTTTCACTAATCAAAATGAATACAAATTTTTTTATCCCGTCAACTCAGAATTATGGTATGTATCCATTATAGTAAATGTTGATTTTTTTAGATTAGTGCTGATTTGATCAATACTAGGGTAAGAATTATGGTTAATGGAGGAAGTTGAAAATTTAACATTAATCAAATTTAATGCTGATTTTTTTTTTTTTATCAGAAAGTTGAATATGATCAATCCATCAATAGTAGTATACTAAGAGAAAAATCAAAGAGAGAAAACAAAAAGGATTTCTAAAGATGTTAAATAGGATAAAATTCTATGTGTCATTTTCTAAAATATTCTTCCAAAAAATACTAAATGAAATTATGAATAAGTCCTCCTATTACAAAAAAAAATTAAAAAAGGCAAATTTTCCAAAAAAAAAAGACATTATCACATTCCTTCAAAATCTCGGCTCATAATGAATTTTAAAATTTAAAATAATTTATTATCATAATGAGCATTAAATGTGTTAATATTTTACATAATTTTTATTTTGATTCTGAAATCCTAATATTTTTTTTGTATATAAAAAATTGTGCAATTCGCATTTAAACTCTATCTTTAAATTTAAACATCATTTAATAACAAAATTAGAGTCATTTTACCAGATATAGAAAATAATAAACAAAATTAATGATGAAATTCAAATTTGAATTTTAAGAGACAAAGTGTGTATCATAATCAACTCTCTCTCTCTCTCTCCCTCTCTCTCTCCCTCTCTTGTGATAATGGTCGAATTTCAGAGCATAACTATTGCATTTGAAAAAGCAAAAAGAAAAAGTAAAACTTATCATAAACTTAATTTGATTATTTATTCTTTAAAAAGGACCAAATATTCTCGGAGATGCTGTCGACATATTACTATACAAACTCTTTTTTTAAACATATTTTGCAGGCTACAAAAATGAATTTGTTTTAAAAAAATAAATTAAAAAAATTGATGGCCCCAACGAGAATCGAACTATTGACCCCATCCAACCCTATCCAACCCTCTCACCCAAAATTTGATGTCATTTTATCACCTTTAAGTTATTTGAATAAATTGTTATTGGATGAAACCGAGATATTTTTAATTTGTATATGCGATACTATTTATTATTATATTGGTGATTTTTTTCTAGTACAATTTATGAAATACTTTCATTTATGACATATAATTATGATGACAAACTTATATGACGTTTAGTCATAAAATTAGTTAATTATTTTTTCATGTATCACATTTTACTTTGTTCAAAATTTTAATAATTAATATTTCACAAGATTTATATGTATGTGACTAATTTTTTTATTTTTCATTAAAAAAAAACTCATAAAAGTATTGTAACATACCCACATCGTGCGGGTTACATCTAGTATATTTGTGACAAGAAAATCTCAATAAAGAACTCATTTTCCACCAATAAGAGTGGGTGATAATCACGAATTACCACGGCCCATTTGGAGTTTGGACATGACAAACATAACGATCGAATATTATCAATAAACCCTAAAGCAGAAAGTTAGAAATGACAGGTAAATCAAGGCTTTATCTCCAACGCGGAAAACGAAGAGCATTTGAGAGAACTTCACTTTTACACAATTTTCTAACAAGTAAAAAGGGTTTCAAAAATCAATCCATACGGCAAACACCATTCAAACAGAGACTAGTGTTCCATAAAGTTGTTATCATTCCTATTTAGAAAGTTGTATCCCATTTCATGTATGAGTCACAGAAGAAAAAGAACAAAATGCCTCCGGACTGTACTGAGCTAGATTCTGTTGCCGTCTGTCCCCATTCCCTATTTCCTTTGTGGTGATAGAAACCTTATTTGGGAAAAGGACAGTTTAGATATTTCCATTCGACAAGATTTTCCCGAGTTTACATGGTAAAAATAAACGCATAAAACACTATACAAAAGGAGTAGGAGCCAAAATTTGTAGCTATAATTGTTAAAAAGTTCTAACCAGGCTACTCGTGTGCTGCTCCCGTTAGTGTTGGATCTTCTTCTTCATCGAATTCCTGCTCAACTCCTTTGACCTCAGGCACATAATGCATCAGCATATTTTCAATGCCCGATTTGAGAGTGACAGATGAGCTAGGGCAACCACTGCACGCACCTTGCATTTTTAGTTTGACTATTCCAGTGTCTGCATCAAATCCCCTGTACTCAATGTCGCCACCATCATCTTGAACCGCAGGACGAATGCGGGTTTCCAAGAGTTCTTTAATCATAGCTACAGTTTCAGAGTCATCTTCACTGATAGCTGTGTCCATGGAAGCCAGAGTATTTGAGTCCATGATCAGTGGCTTCCCAGAGGAAAAGAAGTCCATGATTGCTGCGAAAATTTCAGGTTTTAAGAGATCCCAAGATGCATCATCTGATTTCGTGACTGTAACAAAGTCAGCTCCGAAGAACACTCGAGTAACTCCTATATGAAGCAGTAAAATTAGCAGTTGAGGACGCCTTGCATATTTAAACAGTTATAGAACCCCAAATGACATGAACATACACCGCATCGATCTGGCATGATGAAACAACTAGCTAACAATGCATAAAACAGAAAATGGAATAAATAGCTGGAGGATACAAGGTACTTTTTATCAATATCATCCTTTGTTAAACAGTTATATGTGTCAGCAGGACGTAACACAGCAACAGAGGACAACGAAGGCATAAATGACAAAAAAATTTGTTTATCTTTCAGAAACTGTCAACGTCACTATACAATCCATAAAAGGACTACTCTCATTAAAAATAAAGAATATTTGGTTCATCAACGTTATCTAACAGCAGTTATCACCAGAAATCAGGCCTGACGGTCTAAAACTAGAATTGGATTCCAAAGAAAAGAGGAACAACTAAGAGCTTGTATTATTACTCTTCCCATGTCGTTTCCAGAGAACATTACCAATCTCATCCCACAAACCAACCCAACGAAAATGGACAAATCCACAGGGTTATTTCACACATAAAAGATTCTGGTTCCATAACAAGATGCCTAACTCATTTAATCAGTGAGTAGAAAACTCTAATACCTTACTAAAATGTGGCTATGAACTACCTCCATAAACCAGCTGGATGAAAGCCATCAGTTGTGTAACCTATATGATAGGTAATATTGCAACTTGCATGCCAGCTTGGGAAAATGAAATATATTTTCTCTTCAGCTTTTCAGTTCTCAGCATAAAACTTGATAGCATTAAGAGAACCACCCAAACACTGACGTAAGAGCAGGACCAATTATAAGATTATGTTTACCATCCTGGGTGGAAATATAAGAACCCAAAGATATAGAGAACCAACTCAGATTCAAAGATCTTCTGAGCTGTCTCGAGGGGAACAATTATGTGAGATGAAATCATGAAAAAGGCATGGGTTATACTAATAAGTGTAGGACTCCTGGATATAGGCGTGCAATCTGCACATTTGAATCGCATAGATGTTTAATACTAAAAACTAGATAAAATGACTCCTAATGCTACAGAAATGCAAGCAAGTAAGCATGAACAGAAATGTATCAACAGTCAAGAGGAACAGTAAGCTCACCATCAATCCCAAAAAGGGACTTAGCCAAAGGAGAATTCATGGCTGAACGTGCATTAGGAAAATCAGCACTACCAGCTTCCATAACTGGCTTACCAGGATAGAACATCAGCGACAAGGGATTTGGAGTTGATTGTGTTTGGATAAACATGGTCCTCCGCTGCCCTATTGAGCAAGAGCAAAGTTAGAGCTAGAAAATGAAGTTAAAATCCTATATTTTCTTCTACAAATATGAACACATCACCAAGAAGTGGCCCAATCCTTCTCTCCTGAGCTGAAACGGTATCGGAACACAAAAACTAAACAATTCTCAAATGCCCACTCATAATTTTCAGAGAGAATGACTACATAAAAGATCACATTTAAATCGGCCTACATCATCTTCCTAATTAAAAAAAAAAAAAAAACACACACACACACACACATTATAATACTACTTGAGTTAATGATGGACAGATGTCAAAGTTGGATCAAAAAGGGAGGGGGACGCAGAAAGAAAGAGAACCTATTAAAATTTTCAGTTAGAAATCATGTCAATAGCCAGTTGACATTTTGATTAAAACTATTCATTACAACAAACTTTAGCTGTAGAATAGATCCCAGGATACAATACCTAGGTTCCCTAAACCCTTTCACACTGATAAAGAAGTTCGCAGAATTATTATTTAGCAAATTTTAATTATATCAATTTTTCCACAGAAAATATTCCTATTAATAAAACTTCTGGCCCTCTTACAAGTGGTTAAGGCTCTGCCCCCCCCCCCCGGATGGCCGGCTACCTCCCCCCCTCCTTCTCCAACATCCCAAAATAAGTTATAATCCAGCAAACATTGTAATCCTCAATGCGAATTCCAAAATATGCCATTTACATCTCCTCTACATCCAACACTAACAATACCACAAGCTAGAAATGATTCAATCACTAAGTACGGTAAAGCACCCACTCCTTTGCAGGAGACAAGAGGAGCTACCTTTCTATCATCGGCATCCAAAGAATTAAGTTGTCTGATATGCCAAACTACAGAATCCCAGAATTTATTTGACAACCACACAAACAAAGCTAAAGAAAACACCTAATACCCAAAAATTTCATTGTTTTATCTTCCCGAACAAATAAGAAAGTAAAGCAGTAGTAATGAATTAGGAATAGCCAAAGTCAGACTGACCTATGCGTTGGGTCCATAAGGAAGAATCCAGAGAAGGAAAAACATGGGAAGATTTCGGCAAACCCAAACCAGATACGTAACTCGGTTTCTCAGAAGAAAATGAAAAGCCACACAGGAATCTCCGAGAAGCGCACAGCGGATTGGTCCGGGCGTGATACGACGGCAATGATGCGTTAGCGCAACGACTGACTCGAAGTAACAGGTTTCCCAGATTCTTCATTCTGAAATTTTCACCTTATCTATGGCTTCTTCTGCAACGGACGACGGAGGAGGTCGGAATGTACTGAATTACTACTGATTGCTTTGTTCTGGTCTTATGGCGGTTTAGGATCTCCGATGGGGTAATATATAATTTGCGATGCCCTGTTTGTTGCGGAAAAAAACCCAAAAAGGTTTGGACTGAAAGTCATTGCGAAATTTTTGGCTATTTCTTGAAATTGGGCTTCTGTTCTCAAAGCCCAACTATTGATGACAATCTTCATTTAGGTCATTTAGATAGTATGGGCTTGTTACTTGATAGGTTAAGAACCCAACTAATTAATTACGTTCCACGGCACAATTTTGACACTTTTTTTTTTCTTGAATAAAAAAATAAAATTGAGACTTTTGAGTAGTTTATTATACGATTTTTACCTGCCAATTTGGCATATTCCTCTACAAAACTTAATAATAAAATAAATAAATTTACTACTTTTTTTCTGATATAAAAATCTGTGAATTGACCCAAAACTGATTTTAAAAGAAAAAAAATGGTCAGTTAACTAACCATCATTATATTCAGAAATATCAAATCGGTAACAAAAAAAAATATATATATATATATATACAAATCGGTAAATACTAAAATGATCATCACACAACTATCTATATATATATATATATATATATTTAATATATTAAATGAGAGTTTTCAATCGGACACATGGCGCGATATTAAATAAGCTAATCCACGTGGCGCAAAATTAGATGCCCAAATTCACATGTCACAAGCACATCACTTCATCATTTAATGGTAAATTTTTAATGTAAAAAATTATAAATAAAGCTAAATTAACTAATAATTACAAAAGTTAAAAAAATAAAGTTAACTTCCTAATTTTTTAGTAGTTAAAAATAGCTTAATTGTAATTTATATCATTAATAATATTTTTTTATGAATATCACTCCATTAGGAATGTTATATATAATTGTTAAATTATTCAACTCATATATATTTGGAAAACCCGCACAATGAGCAGTGTAAACACTAGCTTCATTTTTATTTTATTATTTTGGTTATAAATGTTTGACTTCTTATTAAAAAAACATATTAAGAAATTGAAACAATTATATGGGAGAAAAACTTATGTAGATAGTAAGGAAAATGTGAAAAAAAATTAGAGATAATAGTGAAAAATGGAATAGTTATTGCAAAATTATCAACAAATTAAGCTTTAAAGAGAGGTAATTATATTTAGAAAGAAAAAGTGAAGACTATATAACAAATTAAAAAACTAAAAAATATATTATAGGAAAAATATACAAACAAACTTTTAATGAAAGGTTGCAAAAGGTATATAGAGAGATAGAAAAAAGATAAGTTCATTGAAATATGTAATGGAAAACTTTTCTGTTAGAGGAAAATTTAAAAGATGTGACACGGGTAGAAATATTTATGTAAGAGTATATTTTTTAAAAATATAAAGCCATAAATCAACAAAACAAAAAAGATGGATAATAAGGTATTAGATGATTGCGAATATTAAAATTATTCAAAATTTATTTAAAACAACAATATATTGACATTAAAAATTACTTAATTTCAATTTTTATCATTAATATTATTTTTTAATATGTATCACTTCATTAGAAATATCATATAATCAATAGATCATTAAACTCTTTTATATCTTGAACAACTCGCACAACGTGCGGGGTAAACACTAGTATATATTAAAGGAGAGTTTTCAATCGGACACATGGCGTACAATTAGATAGTGTAATCCGCATGGCAAAAAAATAGATAACCAAGTCCACATGTCGCAACCACATCACTCTATCATTAAATGGTAATTTTTTATTTACAAAATCCAAAAAATTCATAAATATCAAAATTTTCATACTTTAACAATTATTACAAATATAAACCATTGGAGCAAAATAATTTAGGAAATTGAGGGAGTGATTTAATTAAATTAACGTCTATAATTCCCGCACATGTCTATGATCAAATGATATATTTTAATTAAACCCACGTGTAACTTTCAAAAAATTTTAATAAACAATTTGTAAAAGGAATAAAAACGATCCCATGCAAATAAGTTTTTGCCAAATAATATTTTCTTTATATCATGACATAATGATTGCAACTATAATAATGATGAATAACTAATTATTCAAAAATTCAATTCCATTCACGTTGTGCAAGAGAGTAAGTATTAAATTATAATTAAATATCAATACCAAATAAGATAAGTTTAAAAAACTATAAGAAATAAATATTTAAATTAATTTATCTCTTATAAGTTAAAATGCCCAGATAAAAAAAATAATAAGATACATATTTTTTGGTTGTCCATAAATAAAATTGTTTCATCGTAGTTAATAGAATTAAAACTCTATACCTGTGCTAAATAGTTTTTTTTTTTTTTTTAGTTTTTGTTTTACATTCTTTTTTGCATATGTATCTTGGAATTTAAGTATGATATGCGATTTTCATCGATTAATCTTCTAACCTTGATGAAGATTGGTAATCAGTAGCAAAATAAATAAAAAAATCAATTAGATGATTTATTTTATTTTTTCCGTATCAAATAGTGGTAGAAAAAGTTACTTAATGATGATAAAACAAAATGTAGAGATCAGTAGGGAGAAAATTTTTCAAAATGAGAAAGAGAATAAAGGTTTTTGTGAGAGATAAATAGTAGAAGAAAAACATATTGAGAAATTGAAAATAGTTATATAGGGGGAAAAATTATGTAGATAATAAGAAAACATATATATATATATATAAAATCGAGATAATAGTGAAAAATAAAATAATTATTGTAAATTTTTTGCAAAAAATGAATTTTTAAAGAGTGGTCTTCAAAATTTAGAAAAAAAAATGAAAAGAAAAGGTGAATACTATGTAACCAAAAAAAAAAAAAAAAAGAGGCAGTAATCACTATATTATATGAAAAATATACGAACAAACTTCATGAAAGGTTGAAAAAGATATATAGAGAGATGAAAAATAAAGGTAAGTTTAATTATGAAAAGAAATAATAATAAAATTTTCTGTAAGAGTGAGAGTATAAAAGATATGACACGGGTCGAAATATTTAGAGAGATCATTATAATAATTAAGAGAAACCTTTACAAGATATGAAATTATAAATCAACAAAAGGAAAAAGATAAATAATAAGTTACATTGGACGATTTCGAATATTCAAAATTATTCAAAATCTACTTTAAATAACAAAACATATTGATATTAAAAATTAAAGAATTGTAATTTATATAATTAATATTTTTTTTCTTTTACATAGATAACTCATATATATCTTGAACAACCCACACAACGTGTGAGATAAACACTAGTGTATATTAAAGAAGAGTTCTTAATCGACACGTGTCACTCATGGAACAAGTTTAGCCAATCGTGCCGCGTGTCATCACCAAAATTCTCCTTCACTAAACAGTTAAAAATTTATTACTAATACGTAAAATTGAACCAATAGTTGATTTCGAAAAAATAAATACGTCTTTGGTAATTATTGACAAATATATGACATAAGGAAATATTAATCATCAAATTAATAATTGTATTAAGAATACAGTTCGAAACTAAGTCTGGATACATTAAACGTAAGTTAATATTATTTTGCAGATAAATTTGTTCAATATATTTTTCAAAAATTAAAATATATTAGTTACCAAAAAAAATTGTTACCAAATAACTATATTACGAATACAATTCGAAACCAAGTCTACTTACATTACAAGTACATTAATATTTTTCTTAGATTATTGGTATATTTTCCATAAGTAAAAAGAGACTACTTACCATAAAAGTTAATAATATTTTTCTGATGATTCTATTTGATATTTTTCCAAAATTAAAAATAGATTAGTTACCAATGACAAAAAAATATATTTGTTACCAAATAGTTATACTGCGAATACAATACGAAATCAAATCTACCTACATTACAAGTATGTTAATATTATTTCATCGATGATTGGTATATTTTTCATAAATAAAAAGAGACTACTTACCAAAACGATGAGATTAGTTACCAAATAATTATACGAGTAGAATTCAAAACTAAGTCTGAATACATTAAATATAAGTTGACAATATTTTTCTAATGATTTTATTTGATATATTTTTTCAAAAATAAAAATAGATTAGTCACCAAAAACAAAAACAAAAATATTTGTTACCAAATACTTATACTGCGAATAAAATACGAAATCAAGTATACCTGCATTACAAGTACGTTAATATTAGTTCATAGATGATTGATATATTTTCCATAAATAAAAAGAGACTATTTACCAAAACGATGAGATTATTTACCAAATAATTATACGAGTACAATTCAAAACTAATTCTGGATACATGAAACATAAGTTTATAATATTTTTCTGATGATTCTATTTGATATATTTTCCAAAATAAAATAGATTAGTTATCAATAACGAAAAAAGTATATTTGTTACCAAATAATTATACTGCGAATACAATACGAAACTAAGTCTGGATAAATTTAACGTATGTTCATATTATTTTTCAGATTATTCTATTTGATATATTTTTTAAAAATAAAAAGAGATTAGTTACTAAATAATTATACTACAAATAAAATTCGAAACCAAGTCTCTATACATACAAGATACCTTAATATTATTTTATAGATGATTCCATTTAATATATTTTTCAAAAAATAAAAAAAGATTAATTTAAAAAAATAAAAAGAGATTAGTTACAAATAATTATATTATGAATACAATTTGAAAACTAAGTCTGGATTCATTAAATGTAGATTAATATTATTTCTCAAAAACATTATTTTCCTTTGTTTTGAACTGTTAACTAATCATTTTATGTTGCATTTTAAACTTCGACATTATAAGAAAAATTTTGGTACTACTGACATACCTTTTCTTTTATAGAGGGGAGGCATCATTTTTAGAACATGCATCATATTTTCCATGTTAAGGATTATTTCTGTTGTATGTCATTGACAAATATTTATGACTTTTGATGGTTTTACTTTTAAATAATCACGAGGGTCTCAATTTAGTATGTTTTGCACCGTTACTATTATTGAATTTCAATGGGTTTAGCTAAAAAATAGTTATGCATCAATCTCGGTCTAAAGAAGCCAGATACACTAAAACGAAATTGCTCATGATATAGAGTCTGAAGATAAATATATACTTTATTTTAGATATTAATAGTTAAATATGTTTACTTTAAGTGCATGATTATCTACTCCCTCCGTCCCATAATTATTGTCCATTTAAGGTTTTCATTTCTAGTTTAAATTGTATGAAAAGTGAAATCTCAAACTGGACAATAATTTTGGGACAGAGGGAGTATGTGTTTTGGTTTTACAGGAAAAGTGTGGCACCGTGATGGCAAAAGAATAAGTACCTCGTAAAACACTCATAACTAAAGAAAAAGTTATGAATCCAAATAAATAAAAAGGGTCCTGCATCCACCAGGCACAGCTTGTTTTATTATTAAAAAAAAACTAAGGGAAAAGTTTGGAGTATGGATAAGTATTTCAAATATTATTTGTTATTTTTTTCTGTCATGGTTTTTTTTTTCCTATTTTTTATGCTTTATTTACTTTTGTTGGAATTTTTTTTTTATTTTGCTTTATGCCTAAAAAAAGATTATTTATAATATTTGATTCAATTACTACAAGTAAACAATATATGCTTTTCAATCAATATATTTTTAAGAATATACATGATTTAATTTCTATTGTTGAAAATAATATTTATATACTTATATCCCTAAAAAAGTAGGATAGTAGACAATTGATCATATTAATCCGTATCTATCTATCTATCTATATATATTACTAATAGAGAAACCGGAGAGAGAAACTAAGTTTCATTTTTAGAGTGACAACTAGGATAAAATCTTATGTGTAAAAAATCTTATGTGTTCTAAAAAAAATAAGTTATGGAAATTGTGTTAATACCCTTGAATTTTATGCTAAATTAAACACTGAATTAGGATCGTCTTATGATAATAGTTTAAGTGACTCCCTAAAAATATGGCCTTTTTAAAAAGAAAAAAATTAGGAAGTAATTTTAACACAATAATTTTTGATAACATTTTTATATTTAGGGCAAATATACAGAGCTTTATTATATGACATTTTTCCACGATCGATTGTCTTTGAGTAGTCTAATTTACATTTGGGATCACTATAAAATAAGGTAACCAATAATGGTTAGACTTAATTAAGGGAATCAAACAATAACTCCCACAAATTAACCCTAATCCCAAATATAATCAGGGAGAAAATATATATATATATATAATTGTTTATTCAAATACCGTTCTTTTATTCAAATTCTGATCAACTTCACCTTTGTCTTTGCTATAGTTAGGGATGGGTTCTTGGAAGCTCAAATTAGTCCTTACAATAGTTTTACATTTAAGATTGTTCATTATGTTCGTTTTTTCTTAAAAATATTTTTAGTAAAAAAATAAATTTAAATTTATTTATCCCGCACAACGTGTAGGTTTAACATCTAGTTTAGAATATATATATATATATATATATATATATATTTTGGTATACTAACACTCCTAAACAAGAAACATATTCGATAGTTGAACATATTAATTTATATTTTAAAATACCCTATATGGCTAAGAAGCACTTATCAAAGTGGTAACAGTATTGGACCAAGTTAACTACAATCCATGATTAAATTTGTGCATGGGCATGAAGTAATGATTGTTGGATGAAGTTTGTCTTTCAAAAGTAACTTACCCAATTCGAAGACAAATTAGTTTGAACAATGATTTCGAACACCGGATGCACTATATACCAACAAAAAAAAAAAAACTATATGACACTCTTGAATTTGAACTCTGAATGCCTAATATACCAATAAACAGAAAAACTAAAACATACGGCACTTTTATAGAAAAATAATGATATATTAATGTTACTCTAAAATATAGTAAAATCCGCACAACGTGCGAGCATAATACTAATTTTATTTATTTTGGTAAATAAAGGGGCAGCAAAGGAGCATATGAAGAACGGGAAAAATAGGAAGATGACAAACTGCTGAGATCTCAAAATAATCAAACTAATAAGGTTAATTTAATTTTATCTTGATATTTTTTGAAAAGAAATGTACAGTAATTTATCGGATTATTAGCTACAATTCATTGATTCATAAAGTTTTGTTATAGTGTTGCACACCTTTTATATAGTTATGATGTGTTCTACTTCTATTGGATAGATTTTAACTGAATAATTCAGTCATAAATTAATGACTAGACCATAAAATTTTCCAATAATTATTATTCTATTATGTACGATTCAGCGAATGAATTACCTACTTTTACCAACGGTGTACTGTGTTATAACCATCACCAATTCTTATAGGATAGGACGGATTATCAGGAAAAAAGGGGACAAGAAAAGAATTTCTTATCATAATACTCTCTCCGGTTCTTAATATAAGGCATTTGATTTCGTCCTAATTTTCATTTAATACGTATTTTTAATTGACAAAAAAAAACCTTAAAAATATATTTTAACATTCGTTAAATTCTCTTGATTGTTGTGAAATGTTTTTAAGGTTTTTTTTGTCAATTTAAATACGTACTAGATTAAACCTAAGATAAATTAAAATACCTTTTATTAAGGGCCGGAGGAGTATTTTAACCAATAGGATGTTGTATCATGCAAAGTATGCGCGTGGCTTGCACGTGATTTCCTCCTTGAAGGTCTGTTCCTCAACCAAAACTTCTAAAGCAATCGTCAAACCCTATCTACCTTTTCGCATTCTTCTTTACTTTGCATATTTGCTCCCCTTTCGAAACCCTAACCTTTCACGTCAATCTTCGAATCTTCGTCTATTTTGGGCTTTTCTCATGAAATTCAACGAGTTTTCCATATCAATGGTTGGAAGCAACATCAGTCGCAGCTCAATTTGATGTTTTGTTCAGAAAGCAAGACGTAGGATTTGTTGTTTATTCTGTTTCTGCATTGATGGAGGGCTCTGTGGTGGATTCGGATGCCGGAGCTCCGCCAGAGTCATGGGAGGTTGCCGACTTGGATGCTAGTGTGCGCCGTCTCATGCTTTCGTCATCCAAGAAGGAGTCGAATAATTCTTTAGCTTCATCTTCGTCTGCGAATGACATCGTTAACGGTCAATCTGAGCCCGGTGATGCGCCTGCTTCAAATTCAGCTGTATCCTTGGCGAATTCCGGTGGGGGACCATCCGAGGATTTGATAAATTCAGTGGATCAGTTTCTTCGGGAGGCTTTACAAAACCCTCGCGAGCGGCTTTCCGGTGAGGATTCTTTTCGGTTTTAATTAGCTTTTCCTATAGTGTCTTTGTGTTTTTTACTCCTGTGGAGATCTTCCGTGTCTGCATCTTTGTTTTTTGGCCTTTTCCCCCCGCCTAATTACTCTTCGTTCGTGTGAAATATATGTTTAGATAGTGGATGTTTTCATCATTTTTCTTTTCTCCTTCGTTTTTGCTTGTTCATGATCAAATTGTTCCGTCAATGTGGATTGGTAATTGTTAGTTAAATGTTCAACATTCTAGTTACCGTAATATTGCTGGTTACTATTCATAATTACTTCAACTCAGTAGAGAGGAAAGTAAATTAGCTGTGTTCTTGCCGCTTTTGGAAAGTAAATTAGCTCCACAGCTTCACAAGCAGTCTTTTTTTAGTGTAAACAGTGTTCTGAGTGTCCGAGACTGATTTACTTATTTTGAGGCTCTCCCTCTCTATCACGCACACTCGCACCCGCTCCCATAATTATATTCTTTCTGATTTTACCCTGGTTTTCTGTATTTTGACCATAGTGAGAAAATGTTAAGTCTTTTGGCACTTGGATACATTTGTTTTGTATGACCTCTAGCTTATCTTCCATTGATGAATCGGTATTCCTCTGCGGATTCTTGTTTGAGGAGGGCTGATCTTTTTCGTACCAAAATTGTTTCTGCACCTGTGCTTTATCATCTTTTGATTGACCTGTGCAACTTTTAGCTTGGTTGCTTTAACAGAAGGGGTGGGGGTTATTTTCGTAACTGGCAATTATTCTAACTTGTGAATTTCAGTTCTACGAATGGAGCAGGATGTCGAGAAGTTTATCCGTGATCCGAGCAGACAACAAATGGAGTTCCAACAGCTTCCTACATCCTATTTACGATTGGCTGCGCATCGCGTTGCTCAACATTACTCATTGCAATCAATGGTTCTGTTGGACAACAGTCTACCAGATGGATCTGGTTCCAGAATCATTGTACGTAAGGCTGCTGATTGCCGGGTTCCTTTGATTCGCTTAGCTGACATACCTTTAAATCTGCCATCAGAAGATAGTGGTGCTGTTAAGGTTGCGATTAAGCAGAGGCCGCAGAAAGGTTCCATGACTATGAGTGGCTCAGATTCGCATTTGTCAAAGAGCAACAGTTTGAAAAGTGTCGAGGAAAGGAAAGAAGAATACAACAAGGCCCGGGCTCGGATATTTAACTCCAATAGTTTCAGTGGAGTTTCCAGTGGCAGAGGAGAAAGTGAGCCTAGGAAACAGGATACTTCTCATCAGGTTCTGCGAGCAGTATCAAAGACAGAAGAGAAATCTATATCAGTAGGGGCACAACCTGAGCCGAATGTCAGTAGAGTTGTTACGGAGTCTGTGCCTGGTAGTAGCAGTAGACCAGCTAGGAATAAGACTGAAAAGGAACCAGTCGGTAGATCTAAAGGTTCTAATAATAGGGTGGCTATCTTCCGGGATCGTGAAATTGATCGCAAGGATCCCGATTATGATAGGAGCTATGACAGGTACTGATTTTTCCTTTTTTTTTCCTCAGCTGCTGGTTTCTCTGATGCTGTAAGGTTGTTTAGATTTACTATTCTCCTAGGATTTCTCAGTGTCATTTGTTTTGTTACCATTTGGTCCTGGTTTGGTTTAGTCATGTTATTGTAAGCTTTCTTTTGGTTATTCTTCATTGTCTAGGCCATTTTGCGATTTAGAATATTCGAAAGGTTCAGGTCTGGTTATCTTTTCTAAAGTTTTAATGTCAGCTAATTGTTGAACGGCGGAGCCTGATATTTTAAAGGCTTGACAAGTTGTAATGTGAAGTTTCTCTACAAGTGGTTGTTGTCCAGGATGATTTCCTTATTGAACAATGTTCAAGCCCTCAACCCCATATTTGTCTAACCTATGTCCCTGCTCATCCAGTCATTTTCTTTTCTATGTTGTCATTCCTTTTTGATACTGTTAGTTGGAGTTTATGCTTATTTTATTAAATATAGGGTACTAGGTTCTACTATTCCTTCGAGTAAATTTGTTATTTTCCCAGGTACGTGCAGAGGTTTGATCCTGGATTTGGATTCAGTGGAGGAGGATATGCCATTCAGCCCATGTACACACCTGCAGTAAATTACAATACTGAATTCCCACAACTTGGCTCTGCTCGAAGGCCACCTATATCGACTGAACACCAACCCCAGCCACTTCCTCAGCATCTACCTGGACCCTGGACTGCTCCATCAACTCCAGCTGGTATTGGGTATGGTCTACCCGAGACAATGATGACACCGTTCAGTCCCAATCATGTTGGTGCCCGTTCTAATTCAGCTCTATATTTGCACACTGCACAATATCCCTTTCAGCATCCTGGGATGCCATTCATTCATCCTCATGAGCAGGCTCACCAATCCTTTGCTCAGGTACGGATATCTCCCAGCTGGAGTATTCTGAACTATTTCTTGGATGTGTGAACCAAAAAAAAAAATGTGTTCATTGGATGAAGAATAACTTGCCTACAGTGAAAAGATATGTATGTATGTATATCCAACTCTATCATTGTCCACAATTTCATGTGGTCTTGTTCTCCTGTCTTTTGGATGAAAAATAAATTATATACAAGTGAAACTCTTTTGTTTTGCGATTTGTGCTTTAACTTAAGCTTAAGGAGTAGATTCTTTTCAGGGGTGATTTGTGCTTCAACGTAAGCTGAAGGAGTAGATTCTTTTCTGCTTCAGTACCTTTGTTAGCTTTTCAAATTAGTTATAAAAATAGCTTTTCAGTAGCAGCATGTTGCATTAGCTGAAAACCTTCGTTGGCTTTTTGAATGTCTTTGCATGTATGGATGTGGAAATTGTTTTTTGACAATATTCACAGAAAGAGTTGATTCAATTCTCTTTGACAAATTTTGCTGCTCTGTTCTTGCATTCATGATCAGAACGTGTTTTTCTGTTTTTCCGCTTTTGCTTCCGACTGGAACTTGCGCAGGATATTATCTGTTCACTCTGATATTTTGGTTTTGTGCTCAAGGCTTTGTGGCTTGAATGATTAAGTGCCAGTTTTTGGTGTTTTTATTTTGGAAGTATGTTTCTCTGATGTCCCTTCTACTTCTTTTCAGTCTCATCAACCGCAACCTGATGCAACATTTGGATTAGCCCGGCCCCGTTGAGGGGCATGGGCCATGCCTGCACCTTGTCACAAGTATTGTGGAGAGGGGTGCTGCAGCAGCACATCATGTCACTTCTGGCGAGGATGCAGGCATAGGCAGCCGAGGCATACTGGATTGAACAGGTTGAGATAACGACCCTGTTTATTCCATTGTAGAGTTCTCGGTTTGCATTAGGGCCACATTAATGATGGGGCTCACTGTTCTGGCAAGCTCATCACTTCAATGCTTTTGAGTGCTGTGTTTGCGAACTATGATGACGAACAATGAAAGTTGGGGTAGAATTCTCGGAGCTCTATACTTTTGCTCTTTGCTGGCTAGGTAGATTCTTAATTCATCTGACCTATGTATTATATTCAGTTGTGCAATCATCTTAATTGTGGCTTTCCTTCTTTTCAATGTATTATAGGGTCATTAACATGTATGCGTGGTTGTGTTAGCAACATTGCAAACCCCAAAGCTTGTTGGAGTTGGAGGTTGAGGACCAAGTAGAGAATTTGCTTTTGGCATGGGGAAAGCTCCAGATGCAGACATTTAGTTATGGCCGCTGTCTTCAATTATTATCCTTCAGAATCTTATGGATATAGAGTATAGACTACTGTTATTGTACAAAGCTTTTTATTTTTGTAAAAGTATTATTTGGTTGCCGAAATGCTTATCTTAACTATTATCGCATATCATTTCCAAAAAAAACCAATATCGCATATGGTTAATTTTTCAGAGGCTGTCTAACCAAAAAAGAAGGGCCCTAGTGTTACTTTTTTTCTTGTTTAAAAAAGCCGCGGGTAATTTGTTCAAAACATACAGCTGTTGAGCCCCTTAAAAGTTCAACTAGGTGACTGGTAGAGCCAGAAAGATGAACTTCACTAACATTCATTTTGAACTGATTTAATTTTGCGAATTTGGTTCTGCTTTCATTAAAGTCTAAAACTGATGTTTGGTTTATCCAGTTTGAATACATAATCACTGACTATTGGAATTGGTGTCGATAGACTAATGGAATTGATAGTATTAAAGCTGAATTGGTGTCGATAGACTAATGGAATTGATAGTATTAAATCTGACAGGTGCTTGAACTTAACACAGCTCGCATAAGCAACCACGAGGAGTGACTAAGTGAATCAGCATCAAAACGGTAAAAAAAGCCGACAAAAGCTTAAACTTGAAACACCTCAAGTAAGCAACCATAGGAGAATGGCTGAAGTGAACCAGTTTCTTTGCTGTTCCAAACGGCGAAAAAAGCCCTTGCAAGAATAGCGTGATCGATTTCTATTCATGTCATAGTTAACCCGTCAAAAAGATGCTCGACAAAGTCGTTCCCTTCGCTAAATACCCGGCTACCTCAACATGCTTTGCTCCACTGCGAAACGCCTGCATATGCATTTGTCATCATTCTTTACACAACAAATTTAGACACTTTTCTATGTCGACAAATCAAAATCCCAACTACATCTCCTTTGTCCCCGGAATTTCCTCAGCAAGGGAGTTCTACAATCACTGTCTACATGCTAGGATCACGTGTAGTATCACGCCATCCCTCAGTATTTCCGGTCAAGAAAAACAAGCATTCTCATCTTTATGTCACGGTTATTGTCCAGCCTAGGATACACATCCCGCCTCCAAAGTACAAAATCTCGGCTTTACAGATAGGTAAGTGAAGTTCTTCATGTGTAGCTTTTGATGTCTAGTGCATTCAATTCAGTATAAATAAGCTTAGAAGCAGTCAATGCAAAGCACACCAATTCGATCTAGCTTATTATAACAACCGATTTTCCAAAAACAGACAAGTTTCTATTTTTCTCTCGCGCTGGTGGTAACTGGTAAGTTCCATTAATATTAGAGCCTATGCAGATATTGAACTGGTTGTTGATAACAGGAAGAGCAAAGCATACAAGGTGTTCAAGTAGTCTCTAGATGTAATTGAGTTGTCAAGTCATTGATTCCATATCTCAACATACTTCAGAGGTTGCAAAAAGTTCCACTTCTAATCATAGATTTTTGACATACTGTGCATAAAGAATTGAAGGAATTGAAGAAAGATGCATTTTAGAATTACCTTTTGTGTTTTCTTCTTCTTGCTATCTTGAGTTTTCTTACTAACTACTGTTACATTGATGGTGCTGTCTCACAGTTTGACATGGAGAAACAAAATGCTGATCTTTTTTGGGAGAACTGCCGCATCATGCTTGCGAATGAGAAGCTGAAAAAGAAAGTCGAAAAGCTGATGCAGGAGAACCAGATGTTAGCAGCTGAAGTGAGGATGCGTATCGAACCTGAGAATCCCAATAACGATCCGCAAGATGGAAACAGGGCTGAGTCAAGTTCTTCGGCAAATAACTGGAACAAGAATCAAGGGAAGGGGAAGAACATGTGAAGACTTCTCCTGTTGCCTTGAAGTTTTCTTTGCTTACCTCTCATGTCTGCTCAGGATTTGTATTAGCTTCTCTTGCAAATTTTGAGTCAGATTTGTCAGTCATGATTGAACTTTGAGTTTATGTAGGCCATGTGCCCTTCTTCCTTCAGTTAATAATTACTTTTCTTGAACTTTTTGTCCCTCTATTTTGGCACTGTAGCATATAAAGGACAGAGTAAAAACCAGTTGATAAGCTACTAATCGACGGTGAGCTTCTTGTCTACGATCGAAAATGTTTGGTAAAATGCCTTAAAGTGCTTGTACGCAAAGTCCACATCTTCCTTCGCACAAATCTCTCTGATACTGCATTAATGAGAAGGAACAACAAAAAAGTAAAACTTCTAAAAGAAGCCAAATCAGTTTGAAGACGAAATTGACGCAACTCATAAGAAAAGCATGCTTAGAGTGACAAACTTGAAAATTCGTGTATACAGAAAACTACAGTGATTCATATCCATTCCACAAGATCAAAGTCATTCAGCAATATGTAAAGCATTCTGTACCAAATGGTTCAGTTACCCTGCGCAATGAATCATGTAACATAATTGTCCGTCCATCTACCATGAATAGAATTACACTATAAACATCTGTGACTTCTCAAGTAAAAAATAAATAAATAAAAATCAATACCTGTGCATGGACAACTGAGCTATGCCACAATCAACAGTGCGAATCCCAACTCCTGAAGCTAGTATTGGACCAATAGTGGATCCACATCCCATATCATTCCTCACCACAAATTCCTGGCAATCATGAATAGAAAAATGCAAATTATATCAGAAGAACCCATAGAGTCAATATGAAGCTGGTACCTACTGAAATGAAGTCCCCATTTCTTTACCCTTACTTTCATTTGTAATCACAAAAGGGGAAGATTGCCAGCTAGTTTACCCGGATGAAGGTAACAATTCAGTAAAACCACATCAAGTTGCGAAATCTGAAATATAACTATCTTGTACAGTCACATGGCCGATTAGGTTCCCTTATCAAATTAAACCCTTCTTTATCAGTTCATTTTCTATTTAAAACTAAGATGTCAGTATATGCAGTGATCAAAATCAGTTAAAAATCAGGCTGCCATTCCAGTACAGTGCAATTCACAATTTGGGTTTTTCACAAACGCACACTGACGCATCATTCCAAAAATGTCATGTTTCTAAACTGTTCCTTTAATACTCCTATTTTTATGATTAAGATTACTTCAATAAAAAGCAATGCAAGTGAAGAAAATACAATACTCGCTTATTTTATGTGCTGTATCTCAAAACTCATAATGAACTGTACGCTATTGCGGAAACCCTTTTTGGAATGAATGAGGTAAAAATATTATGTCTGTATGAGTCCCTAGAACGAAATGGTATGTGTTGATACCTCTCTACCAATTTATGTTTCTCACGAAGTTTGCTCCACCTTACAGCTTTCCCAATGCACATGTTGGGGAGAAAATATCTGCCAAGAATAGTGAGATCTAGCCCCAAGCTTCAATTATGTTGTTCTATTATTTATTCCTTTATGTATAACTGTTTTTCAACGCTGATATGGAATCTTTGGTAACAGAAACCTTAGAGGTCATATGACGGACAAAGTCACAAAACCCACACATGTACAAAGGTCCAAAAAAGGTACAAAAGTAAATAGTTGTCAATTTTTTCATTCATAGTTGTCATTTCAGTACATATGGTGGAGTTCACCTGAGTTGGAAGATTGTTCATTCTGGCAACTTCTTTGAAAAGAAATGCCGTAACCCCGCTTGTAGCATATCGCTGGTTGGCATTATGCTTGATGACTAGACCTTTCTGCAATTCTGGGCGATGGTGTTCTTCATGCTTCTCCATAAAATTTGGATGAACTCCATGAGCCATGTCTGCAGATACTACAAGATGCAATAAAATATATTAAATAAAAAAACCTAGTATACAAAACGAATTTTAAACGAGATCTCATACATCATATTTATTTGTTTAACATGTTTCTTCTATTGATATCTCTACAATGACAATTAAATCAAGCAACAGTCCTGGGTCACCATCCACAGCCACATTACTTCCACTTTCCAGCAAAGAAGTTTTCAGTCCAGCCTCTAAAAATTTTACCTAATGGACCAGAATCTGAAAAATGAATCTGTCCCTACTATCAATGATTATATCGGTGCCAATTGTCCAACATGGCCTATACTTTCAAATACATTCCTTTACAAAATTAAACATGAATTAAATATTTAACCTCAATTGGGTGAGTCTCAGTTGAACTCAAATGTTATTAAAGGTTGTTAGACAGACTACTTTAGCATCAAACAACTTTAATTGACTCAGACGTGCAGGGGAAATCCCGTCATCCCTGGCCCTCTCTTGTCCTTGTTATCGCTGTTATAGACACATTAATAGATGGGCTACGAAATATTCTCAAATCAAAGACAAGCACTTGGAAACAAAGCCCATCATTTTCTGAAGAATGGTCAGCCTCCATTGCGATATATTTTATTAAATGATCACATTAGAAAATGAAGAATATCATTCTTATCAGCTTCTCGCTCATCTTATATGGGTTTGTGCATGTTTCACAATGGTAAAAGTATATTTCTGGAGCAACAACAAAACATTCAGTAATTACTGACTATCAATCCACTCTAGAATTTTTGAACATGAATATTTGGTTTTCTGTAATAAAGACTTCTAAGGGATGTGAAGAGGCTTCTGTCTGACGGCCTCTAGATTGCTTACACGCTTTGGACAAAAGAGCTAGATGGACAAGAACGTGGTTTATTCAATGAAATCTCAACTGAGAGCTCATTCACATGCCAAAAAATGAAAGTTCCTCTGCAACAAATTCCACAAAAGCTAAAATGTAACAAGACATACCCAAAAAGGAATGGCGAACTGCGCGAGCAAACCTATTTTCTCTGACACATTGAGAATCTAAGCAATCAATTATTCGTCTCATGCCCTCAAATATAGTTGGTGCGCCAGCTCCTTGATAAGAATCTGAACCCACCTGCGAGCATAAGCTTGTAAGTTTCAAATTTTTAAAATTTATGCAATTTGATACCCGGGGAAATTTGGTGAAAAACATGAAGCTTTTAAATAGCAATTACAATCAAGATAGGTGGACTTCAAAACTTGAGCTACATAAAGCACGCCAACAACCAAATTAGGATATAGAAACTACCAACAGAATATGTCGGTTACAAGAATATTAAGAAATGTAAAGTGGACCATCAGACAGCAAAGGCGTCTTCCTCTGATTCGCGTGTCTAGTCATTTGGTAAGAGAGATAAGAGCAGTGTTCATCCTTCAATGTGATTCAACAAATATCCCGTACGCAGAAGTAAAGCTGATGTGAAGTAACTTATTTCACACAGAATAGTAGTAATGAAGTGTAATTGCTCGAACCTCGAATTTAGAAGTAAAACAAATTAGGCAACGCAACGAACACCATAATTTCATAAATGCTGTAAGCAGTTGTAGTCGTAACACATATCATTGACAAAATTTACACCAAAGGGGACAAAGAGCTCATGATCATTCCATAACTACATCAAATTTAGAGGTACATAGTGCGGCTCAAAAAACACATTTCCACATTCCATTGAGCATCACAATTGCCAATCAAAAGGAACATGCCAAAGGGGGAACATAACCTCTTTAATCATATCAATCAAGTATGCCTCAAAGTTACCTCTTCATTGTCAAATAGAGCAACCATCCGTATAGCACCCTCATTGGACAAATCTCCAGCTGAAGCACAAGAATCAACAAGAGCTCGTAGAGCACAAAAGCTTGAAGCAAGATTATCCAATCTTCCAGAGAATATGAATTCATTATTTGCACCTCCAAGACAGCTAGGTTGAGTATCGCAAACATTCAACTCTATGTTTAATATGTCGTCAACTTTACAGCTCAGCTCATTTGACAAGATCTACAAATGACAGTCATAGGGTAAGCAGAAGAGAATAGTACACAACCACAGAAGCATATTACCACTCATAAACTAAGAACCTCAATCAAAAGGTCCCCATAAAATGTCAATGTTAGAGGTAGACAAGATTCTAGAAGACCACAATTGAAAATAGCAAGGACTAGAGCACAAAGCGAGTTCCCAAAACAAGATAACACATCATCCAAGGTGGTTCAAGTATCAGATACATAGATCGTAAGATTACAGATCTAATGACACGACACATAAAAAATAACAGTCCGTGAAAAAGAAAATACAGTTAGACACAACTAGAAGTAACCTAGTGAAAAAAGCATCACCTGCAATAGCAGTGGATGGTGAACATCTTTTGAGGATACATTGTTCTTCTCTTTGGTCTCAACCAACGTGTTCTCCATCTTTTTAGCAAACAGCGGGATGAGATGAGTCTCCAGGTTAGGCTTGAATCCATCCTTGTTCACTGTGCTAAAACACGGCATGAACCCCGCCCCCACAATAATTAGAGTATGAGCAAAATACTTCCAGAAGGTCAACACCGAGAATCACTAAAAGACTGAGTTTGATTGAAACACTATTCAACACTGAACATGAAAAAAAAGTGTAGGTTTTTGCACTTTAACGAAGTAGGAAAGACATTGGATATGTTGTTGTATTGTTGCACTTTAGCAACCAAACACCACCTAGAATCAATGTAAGTCGACAGATTACAGAGAATTTGCATGAACAAAACATTAAAGTTCTCAGAAATAACTTCAAATTGCAATCCAAAGAATTACTGACTCTTGAATGACAAAAAACCAATGAGTTTATTTTAAGGTATGACATACCGGTCAAGATGAATGGCTAGTGTAGGAACTCGTAGTATAGGTCTTTTTATCTTAACAAGCTTGTGCTGAAAGCAGTCATCATCCGCTCTAACGATTACCCTACCAGCAACACTTAAGTCACGGTCAAACCAAGTATGCCACAGACCACCACCATAGGTCTGGACATTTACCATCAGACAACCACATTTGGATGATGCAGATATTGGCTTCAACTTCAGACATGGGCTATCAGTATGCGCGGCGATAATGTGAAAACCATTTGAAATGGAATACCTGCAAATCAAGTACCATCTTGTAACTTGTATTTCGAATAACAAAAGTAGTATAGCCACAAAATCAAGTATCATCTTCAAACAGCTCATGAATGTGTTGGAACAAACTGAAAGCGGATGTGGACACATTCATCTGGCAGTGAAAGAAACATGCCAAGGAAGTCGAAATAAAAGAAGCAAATGAGAAACGCATGGACATTCACTACTGACTTGCACGTCTTGGAGATTCATTGCTGCTTAAAACATCAATATGTCAATAAGTTACAACAACAAAGCTTTTGTCCAACCATATGGGCTTTGGCACATGGATCATATATCACTTCTAGTTCTGTCAGTACATATGCTCTCAAGGTTCAAAAACAAAGCATAGAAGCATTTCTCTTTTAACTGTGTCTATACTTCAAATCACATTCAACCTAGTTTATTCTGACATAAAACAAGGGTAAGATAGACTCACTTCTCCCCAATTGCAAAGGCAACTAAAGAGGACATATTTCGCGTGAAAAAGTAGCGTCCACCAGGCTTCAAATCCCATTCGTCATTCTCATTCAACAGATGAAATCCAGCGGCGAGTAGCTGTCGTTTGGCTTCAGCTGTAGAAATGAGAGCAAATAACAGATGTAAACAAAATTGAGTAGCACAATGGGCACGTGATACGTTAAGATTCTAATTACAGTTATCTGACGCGATGCATTCTTAATCACACAGCCAATGGAAGAATGCAAACTACTGTAACAATTACAAATAGGCATAACCATATGGAAATTGAGAGATAATCCAAGCCGTAAGAAATTACAATCCTCAATGTAATAATGTATGGTTACAAGAGATCACTTACCAGTAGCATGAAACTGAGTCCACGACTCGTTGAGATAATCCAATAAATCGCCAACTATGGACTTATTCGAAGGGCCCTGCATTAAAAAAACTCAATTAAAAATTACAGTTATCAGAAAATGTTGACGAGCGCAAGCAAGAAAAAGAAAAAGAGAAAGGAAAAGGGAAGACCTCGGGAACGGAGTGGGGGGAACTGGAACAGAGCCGACGGAAGTGAACGTTAGGCTGATTGTTACCGAATGAAGAGCAAAATGGGGAGGAGTGAGGGAGCTTAGAGAAAAGAGTGGATAGAGGCTTTACAATTGGATATGGATGGAGAATTTGGAAGCGAGCCGCCATGAGAGAGGAGGAGGAGGAGGAACAAAGAGTTTGAGAGGTCCGAATCTCCGGCCACTGACCCTATCAGGTTGCACTGTGAAAACCACCTCCTGACTGATACTTATCAATAAATAATAATTTAGTATTTTTGACAACCCGTTGGAAAAAAAAATTTACGGATATTATTCCATCTTCATTTCTATTTTTAACATCATGTCACTCTGTATCGTCATGTTTAAAGGTTCCATTTTTTTTAAGGTAAAAAATTTGCAATGGTTTTAGTTGCTATTTTAGTATTCATGACAATCTGTTAAACAAAAAAAAAAAAAAAAACAAGCGGTGAGTCTCATTCCATCTTCATTTTTATCTTTAACAACATTTCACTTAGCGGTTAAAAATTCTGAGTCTTCGATAGGTTAAAAATTTGTAATGGTTTTGCCTGCTATTTTAGCATTTTTGACACCTCGTTAAGCCAAAAAATGAAAAAAATAAAGAAAAAAAAGAAAAAGAAAAAGAAAACCTAACTCTTAATCCATAATTATTTTCATTTTTAATATCATGTCCCTTTGCATATTCCTATTTAAAAAGTTTTAAGTCTTTAATAAGTTAAAAAATTGCAATAGTTTTGGTTGAGGGACGTGTTGCCAACAACAACACATGGAGAAAAAATACATTAAAAAATTTAATCTAATTTAATTCATAAGACACAAAAACACGCAATAGAAAAATAATTTAAAAATTAAATATTAAAATTAGATATATAAAAATAAAAACTTTGCTATTTAAATATTTATGAGAGTCCGTTACACTAAAAAAAAAAGATCTCATTCGATCTACATTTTAATCTTTAACAGCATGTCAGTATGCATCGTCTTGCTTAAAAGGTTCTTAGTCTTGGTAGGTTAAATAAATGAAACGATTTTGACTGTTATTTTAATATTTTTGACACCCCGTTGAACCCAAAAAGAAAAAAAAAATATAATAAGCAAGATAAATAATATCAAAGATGATACTTATTGATAAATTAATAATTTAGTATTTTCAACAATTCGTTGAACAACATTCAATAAGTTATTAGCTAATTAAAATTATTTAGTTAAGAAATAAATTTTCATTAATCAAAATGAAGAATAAGAATGGGGCAAAATAATCTGTTTAATATTTTGTCATTGGCGGTTTATAACAAAAAATCGAAAAAAAAAAAAAAACGAAAAGAAATCGGCGGGCCTAAACCCTGAACCCTTACAGCTTGCGCCGGCTCCTGAAAGTTTGAAACCCTAATCTCTCTTTTCTGATCGGATTGCTTCGGAGGCTTCCACATGGGGAATAACAAGAAGAAGAACAAGTAGAAGAACAAGGACGAGGAGCCTCCTCTCTCTAATTCTATTCTTACTATGGAGGTGTTTTTCCCTTTTCACTAGCTTGGTGTATCGATTTTTGTTAGCTTGCAGTTTATTGAATCTCTGGTGCTACTTTAATCGTTTTTACCTTTTTTTTTTTTTTTCTATTTAGGATCATAAATGTCTCATGAGTCGGCCTCCAAAAGTTTACCCGTCAAAGTTACTGTTGGGGAATTCCCCACTGAGAGCTCTAAGCTTGAGCAAGGTTCTATTGAGGTCCGTGATTCTTTAAAACCGAAAGGAATTCTTGAAAGTACTCTTTTTTTTTTAATCTAACATTTCTTTTGCCATATTATTTGCATTTTTGTTTTGGTTTGGGATATTGATTTTCAGGGTGAGGGGTCATTGGCTTCTTTTGTGGAGAAGATGATAACAAAAAAGGAGGTTGACGAATTGCTTTTAGAGGTAGATTCTAAGCTTAGTGGAGGATGCTCTATTGAGGTTTGTGATTGATTCTCTAAAAGATGGTGTTCCTCTATTCCTTCCGGTTATATGAATGTTGTTGTGATGTACTCCTTCCGTTCCAAAATAAGTATCATTCTAGAGTTTGCACATAGTTTAAGAAAACATTAAATAAGGTAATTAAATTACTAGAATATCCTCAACCAACCCCATTAAAATAAATGCTCACCAATAATATTATTTCTTTTGAGGGTATGTTTGGAAATTTTTGACCAAAAATACATTGTAATCTGAAAATGACACTTATTTTGGAATTTCTTCATTTTGCCAAAACGATACTTATTTTGGAATGGAGGGAGTAAAATCATTTCGCTGATTATCCTATCTTCGGATAAACTTGATATTGTTACAAGTCTTGGTAGCATGTGCTGAGAAGCTGTCGGAGGATTTCTATTCGACAACCATGCAGATTTCAAAGGTTATTAATAGCCTCAGAGATAAAGAGGTAATGCATTTCCCGGTAGATCTATATTCCGAATGATCATGCACACTTTTGTCCCTTGAATATATACTGACTGAATGAATGAATGATGTTCCAATTTGTTTGTGTACATGCAGGACCCGCCGTGTGAGATTCTTTTTAAAGTTTGGTCAAAACTACTGAATGAATGATTTACTGAATCTGGATCTGGCTTTTCTACTTATATAGTTTGTTCTAGCAGTTGAGTACGTTTATGCAGCAGGTTCCTTGTATTAGGTCCTTGATATTTATTCAAGGTTTCTTAGCCCTTTTATTGAGAAGTGGAAATTACTAGCGCAAACCCAATTCTGCACAGGATCGAATCTATATGTTCGAGAACATGTTACAAAATTTAGATGGAATACTGTTAACGAATGGAGTGAGTTAATTTGGAAGTGATTTTAGTCATATCCGGCCAAAAATCTTACAAAAACGAGTAATCAAATAAAAAAGTTCATACAAATACTCCTCTGCATAAAGTCTTGATCTAGGAAAAGTCAAGGTAAAAGAAACCCGAAAATAAGCAAAGCGGAGCAAGAAAACTCAATGTTGTTTTCAAAGTGAAGGAGTTTCGTATAAATGTTCCATGAAAACTTTCATAATTAAAAAGTGAGGTAACTTTCAGATGGGAGCCGTTAAAACCCGAGAATGAACTGAAAAAACACTTTAGCATACAAATGATACATTGAGAGCCATATAACGTCTAGACTGGATACAACTCTTTCACTCTTCCAACAATATGTCTAAAAAAGTCCTCAACCCACTCACTTTCATATTCTAGACAGAATAGGATAAATAAACTATATACTGCAATTACAGGGCACATCAGGTAGAAAAAAAAAGGAGTAATTTATATTAAAGATGCAAAACCATCAAACTTTTTACGATAATCATAAAGCAAGATTGCGATACACATTTGTAAGAGGACGCAAGAGCTTCACATTTGACGATCTACACATAATAATAATAATAATAATAATAATAATAAGGATCATGACTTCGTGCAAGAGAACATACTTCAAATGTCCTTGATGTTTTATGGACTTGCGCGAAGCAAGTTCTTCACACATGTACTTATAGGACAGATTTATTCCAAGTAACAAACAAGTTACATAATTCTTCCAATACTCACAGCAGTACCATTCATTTGTACAAATTAAAAATTAAATTCCAAACAAGACATTTATTTTGGGATAGATGACAAGTTTTTTGCATGTATTTTACCAGTTAGGTAGATGCCTTTCTCTAGGCAAAAACTAGAAAAATAAAAAATAAAAAAAAATCCATCTTTGGCATTTGGCAAAAGCTTCTAGTAGTCGTATTTTCCAAGATGGTTGATGTAGTTGTTCTGAAGTGCAGTTGGAAGAAATCCATTCTTACCCAAACTTTTCCGGTGATAATTTTAAAGATGCTTGGACACAAATCTGTCTCAATGACCTAACTCAATCTGGTTTTACTATGCTGAAATTATAGACAAAAAATAATGGAGTAAAAGAACTAAAACAACTTAATGATAATAATTGAATTGTCAATAACTATTAGAATCTAATGCCAAGTGATCACATTAAACTACCATCAAATTTCAATGTAAATCTTTCACTTGATGTAACATTTTAGTCATGTGGAAATAATATCTTGCAGGTTGAAATTCCCCATATTCACAAGAATACTAATATGGTTGGGGAATGTGGCATGTAGGAACAAGATATATTGTTGTGTAAACTCTCTATCCAATTCCAAGTACTATACCGTTGTCAAAAATAATACTGGATGATGTTGTACGTTTGAGAACACCTGAATGCTCGGTAGTTGGAAATACATGCGTTTTTACTTGAGAAATTGAGATTTCCTCCCACAGGAACAGAGGAGTGTATCCGATTGAGATACGTTTCTCTTAAGCCTTTGTAGGTAAACACTTTTACTTCCTCAATGAAATTTAATTTACACTTTCCATTCGATCAATTAAAAGGGCATAAATGCAAGAAATATCCATTCCCGGGTAAAGGTCTAAGAAACTTGAATAAATGTCAAGAACCTAATAATAATTAATAAGCAACCAACTTTACTAAATTCAAGATGATGGCATAAACTTATCTTTGATCCACAATACACAAACACAAAATATGGTAGTAGTAAAACAGATTGTCAAGGGAATGAAAATAAAAGAGAGGGGAAGGCTACTTAATAATATACGAAAATTAACTCTTCCACATTAAAAAGAGCTCTCCTCCACATTAGCATTAGATTCTTCCGGACCTTTCTCAATAAGAAAAGTCCTGTATACAAGCTAATGAGAAAATCATCAAGTAAAATGTTCGTATATATTCAAGGGGCAAAAGTATGCATCATCTGCAATATAGATGTACCGGGGAAAGCATTACCTCATCTCCTCTTTGAGCTTTCTGAGTCTCTCAGGAAATTTCAAAACATCCGCAGTTGTATG